GGCTGCTCAGTTCTCTGGGGTTTTCTGCGATGTCAACTTCGAGCAGAATCGAATGAGAAGCAGCGGGTTAATGCTGTGGTAGTGAACTGCAAACTGGTCCAAGTAATGGGCTTCTGAAGACCCATATTAGCTATAGTAAACGTGGAGAACTAACGGAGAGAGAAGAAACCAATAATGGCAGCGTTACTTGACAGCCTGTTCAAGCACGCTGCTGAAGCCGGGTCGGTCTTTAAAGATATTGTCCTCATGTCGCTTTCGGAATGTTTGGTCCTGCAGCTTTTTGTATCAGCAGCTGTACTTTGGTGAGACCAAGGAATGATCTGGCACAGTGTCGGGTTGCTGGCAGGTAGGCGAGAGTAATCCTTCTCATATATATCTGTCCCGAAATCGGCTGTGATTGCATCAGGATTGTGAAGTCCTATGATGGATATAGGAAAGCTGTACTCCGAATATGTCTGATTGCTCTTTGAACCCATTTCCGCTTTGGATCTTGCAGTAGCTTTGGCACTGAGCTTTGTAACTTAATGTGGTTGTTTCTTTTCTGCTTTTAAGTCCATTGCTCAGTAATTTCATCAAACACTATCTCCTGTGCACTGAGAGGTTACAAAGTTTGCTCTTTTTTCTCAATATATACTGTTGCATCCTCTGTTTTCCTTTTTCAGCTGAAAACATGAGTTAGTATTTTCTGAATGGCTGCTGTTGCACACTTGTTATTTTTGTCCCCTTTCTATTTGCCTGTTCTGTGTTTACTATCCCTTTTTAGATGGTGGCACCAGAATTGCATAATAAATTTTTGTTGTGCCGTAACAGTAACTTCTGTTTTGTTCTTAGAAATGTTCTTCTTGCCTTTTTGACTGCTGCACAGCATTGGCTACTACTCTGAATGTACTGGCTCACCCTGAGCTCCAGGGTTTTTATTTGATAACAACTGAACTAAATCCTGTCATGTTGTGTGTATAATTAGGGCTGTTTTTTACCGTATGCATCGCTTTGCATGGGGTGACTGTCTTGCAGACTTAAAACTCATCTTCAGGGACTTCCTGTCTGTAGAGTGAGTTTCACTGGAGAAACACCGAGTTCCTGGTTTGTTTGGGGTTTATATTATTATTTGGAGAGAAGAAAAAAAAACCACAGCAAACTTCCTCTCCAGTGCAGCTGGGATTCTTAAAGCTCTGGGGCTTTCTAGAGCTCCTCTTCTCACGTTGGACAAGCTCTTCAAGGAGAGAAACCTGGCGTGCCAAACCCTTCCTCTGCAGAAGGACGGAGAATCTTCCTGTTTTCTTGGTTGTGAAGGTTGTTTATACTAGAGTCGGGCAGAGCGCAAGAGGCGAGTGTGGGGAATCAACCCGTCGGAGCAAAGGTGCTCGTGCTGCGCGTGCGCTTTGCCTCCGCAGGTCTCGTTGCTGTTGGGTGTCAGCACGTGTTACTCCTGTAGGAATGTTTGCTCTGACAGCCCTCGCTCTGTGATTCTGTTTGGGATGGTCGCTCACCCGCAGGGCTGCTCCCATAGCGAAGTAAAACCTGTGGAAAGAAGCAGATAGCACCCAGTAGCTTGGCTTCTTTAATGGGGGGGTTATGTTTAATCTTCCTGCAGAAGTGGCCTGCGTGCTGCGTGCTTTCGACGCCATAATTTCAAGCCCCTCGCAGATATTTTTACTGTCCCGCAGCGTGTGATAGCAGGATATGCGCAAGCAGAGGGAACGATGATCCAGCATGAATATTTACCGATGTAAATGCGTGTGACACACACAGGTTGTGCGTTGCCGGTGCACCTTGCACACATGCATTTGGTCGAGAACGTACGACCAGCAGCAGCGCCACAAATAGACACTTCAATAGGAAGCGGTGGTGGCGGTGGTAAAGCTAGATCTTGTGGTAGGATGTGGTTAGGGTGCTGGTGATTCACATTTTTACAGTATATACAGGTTAAGCTAGCGTGGTGAAGCTTGGATATTTCCACTGAAAGAATGCTGGGTAAAATGTTGAACTGGAGCAGAAGTAGATGCTGAATGAAGGCTGAAAAAAAAGAATCGCGTGCTTCCGAGCTATGTATGGTGTTTCACCTGCTTGTCTCTTGGGTACCTAAAAATGAGGTAGTTGGGTTTTTTATCTTTGCCTTAAACGATGACCAGGGAAAGCTGAATGTTACAAAAGCAGAATGTAAACCAAAACAAAACCCAAGTTATATATTAAATAGGTTTTCATTTTGCGTTTTTCCATGAGGCTTTCATTCTGTTCATGCCGGTTGGAGGAATTGCTTTAAAATTACTAAGTGGTAAAATGAAGAAACATTATTTTTTTATAAAGAGGAAGCAGGAGGACTGCTTTCTAGATCTGACTGGACTGCAAACTGTCAGCTCTCCTGCAAGTCCCCTTTCCCTGGGAGTAAATCTCTGAGCGCACTGGAGCGTGAGAGTAGATAGAAGTGACATAAGTAATCACGCTCTGAGGCCCCGGGAGTGCTGGCCTTTCTCTCCAAGCTTGCTTTGCCTCCTTCACTGGGTATTTCCAATCATTTCAGAGCTGGTTTAGTTAGTGCAGCTCTGCCTTGAACCGC